AGCCCAGAGGTGGCGGGCAAATGATTTCACCCTTAGGACAAAGCCGGTGGTATAATATTCAGCTGCCAACTGAGTTTGATTGACTCCGGCATGTCTGGGACCTTCCACCGTTCTAATAGTGTTATACTACCCAAAGGGTGTGTAAGTGGGTTCCGTTGGTTTTTGCAGCAGATGGGGTGGGTTCCCCGTGGGTTCCCTTGTTTTTTGCAGCACTTCAGGTGGGCTACATATGGGTTCCCTTGTTTTTTGCAGCATTTCGGGTGGGTCTGTGTATGTTCTTCATTTAGCTTTCTTGTAGATTCCCATGGTTTTTGCAGCATGGACGGTGGGTTCCCTGTGGGTTCCCTAGTTTTTGCAGCATTTTTAAGTGGGTTCCCATGGTTTTTAACAATATCGACGGTGGATTCTCTGTGGGTTCCCTTGTTTTTTGCAGCACTTCAGGTGGGCTACATATGGGTTCCCTGGTTTTTTTGCAGCATTTCGGGTGGGTCTGTGTATGTTCTTCATTTAGCTTTCTTGTAGATTCCCACGGTTTTTGCAGCATGGACGGTGGGTTCCCTGTGGGTTCCTTAGTTTTTGCAGCATTTTTAAGTGGGCTCCCATGGTTTTTCACCGTCGATACGGTGGGTTCTTTGTTTGGTTCCTTGGTTTTTGCAGCATTTTGAAGTGGGTTCCCATGGTTTTCCAATAGGCTCTTTTGGCTTTTGCAGCATGTCAGCTGGGTTCCGGTATGTGTGCTTGCTCACGAGTGTTTGGTAATGTTTTGCATGCTTGCTGCACTCATGACATTGCATGTGCATTGCAGCAAGCAGGCTCGCAGCTGCCACTTCGCCTGCATAGCGGGCAGAAACTTTTGTAGGCTAACGGGCCTCGCCGTGTAAGCCCTCTAGAACAGTTCTGGAGGCTCCCAATCTTTGTGGATTTAGCTCCACTTCATTCCTCTCCCGCTCGCGATAGGGGGAGGAGTGCATGGTTTCAGGCCATTTGGCATTTGCGATTTTACAGTGCATTTGGTATTTCATTTGCATTATGGATCAGTCAGTGCCTGTGAGTGACTCGTCAGTGCCTGAGACTGATGCATCTGCTTCACTTGGAACAGACATTGCGATTTCTGACCAGACTCGTTGCATTGTCAAGCGATTTCAGAAGCGGACTTCATCCCAGCAGGAATGTTCGCCTACCTTGGAGGCCTCGCCTTCTGCCGTCGTTCTTGATGCAGTGGTTGCTTCTTCTCAGGGTGACCTGGAGGTGGATCCATTGCACCCCGCATTGGCTTTATCTGCACAGGACGCTGATCATGAGGCTCCATTACTCCCGGAGGTGGTCATCGCTGGACGTGATGATCTGCAGGGGCCACAGCTGGACCCTGAAGGTTTTTCATTTGGGTCGCGACCCCCTTCACCAATATATGACCCCGATTTTGAGCTGGTAGATCCATTGGAAGCTTCTTTGGCACAGACTGTGGCAGCCTCTGCAGTCCATTCGGGTTCCTTTTCTTGGGATGTGATTTCGCCGGTGCCCGAGAAGACTCCTGCATTCTGCTCTACGGTATCATCTCGCTTCTCCCCACTTCGTGTGGGCCGTCTCTCTTTTGAGGAGACTGACAGGGAGGTGGAGCCACCGTTGCTGCCGGCAGTCTCGCAACAGGAGCATTCCGTTTCTCAGATGGAGGCTGCTTTGCATCCCAAGCCGGCTCCCTTAGCTCGCCCAGCCACACTCAGTGCTGGATGTGGTCGAGCTACAAGCTTGCATCCCATGGGTGCCAGGTCCACGGAACATGCAAAATCGAGGCCGATTTTTCCACTTAGGGCCTCCATCGGGGTGCCCAAGACTGAGCCCAAGCCTCGTCCGGTTCCCTCCACTCGAGGGGCGTATGCTCGGTACCCATCTGATCATTTGCATTCTGCTTCTCAGGTGTCGGGGGCTCTCTCGAAGAGTTCGCCTCCATTTCAGGCTACAGGGTCCTCACCCCCTTCTGGTGGGGCCCCAGAGCTGCCGCTTGGTCCATTGCCGACCAAAGGTCCTGGTGCTAAGAGAGGAATTGATCTCCTTCATTCAGGCACCACCAAGGGAAGCTCCAAGGTGGTCAAGCAGTCCGAGGTGCATTCCACTCAGTGGTCACGGGCCCTTCAGTTGTGGTCGGAACTCTGCGAGTTTGCATTGTCATGTTCTGCATTGCTTTGTGAAATTTTCCACAGCTCTAACAAGCATTCCCTTTTGGAGCAATTGCTCCGCCGAGTGTCGGACATACGATTCGCGACCTGGGTTTTGACATTACATCACTGTCTCAGGTTCAGCTTATTGACTCAATTCATACATTACAGAGATCTCGCAGCCATCACTCTTCGGTACATTCCATCAATGTGCTCAAGGCGGTACGATGGTTCTCTTCCACAGCGCAACCCTCGGGCTTTCCTTCCTTATACGATGGCTTGTTTCATGCCAGGTCATGGCAATCACAAGGTGCCTCTAAAGAGGCTTTACCTCTTCCATTATCCTTCGTACTGTGGCTGGAGACCCAAATTGTGTGCGGCCACTTTACATTGGAAGAGACTGCTTTCGCGGGATCAGTGCTAGTTTGCATTTGGTGCAGCTTGCGGTTTGGCGACTCCCAACACATTCAGTTGTCGGATCTGTACATTGACTTCGATAGCTTTAGAGGTGCATCTTACCGAACGAAAACACAGAAATTTATGGCTTTCGGCTGCCTTTTCTCAGGACTTTTGCGGCTGCCACGCACACAATGCTGGCTTTTGCATTGGCTTGTGGCTCTTGAGAAACTTATGGATTTACATTCAGATCCTTCGGACATACCGGACTACATTTTCTTCCTGCTGGACAAGGAGTGCATTAGACCTTTGACTTACGCAGAGTGCCTTTCGAGGCTAAGACGATTGCTGGTCATGTGGAACCAGCTGCCATCGGGTCAGGAACTCCAATATACATTGCATTCCATGAAAGTTACATTGCTTTCTTTCTTCAGGCAACTGCACATGTCGCTTGAATCAAGGCATCTTCAGGGCCACCACAAGCACTCTGCTTCTTGTGCTTTATATGGGCGAGACGACGTCTCTCCATTACTTCTGGCTCAGGACAGTTTCATTGAGAAAGTTAGAGGAGGCTGGCGATCACGAACTCCATTAATGCGTGGGGTCACCTTTATGCCTCTTGAGCCGGCATTGCATTGGCCTCCGGACCTAGGGGCAGTGCTGTCTGCTGCATTGCCTGTCTTTTTCAGGTTGGATACTCTTCCACCGCCCTCTATGCCCTCGACCGATGTACCCTGAGCTCAGTCTGCATCAGCTGCTCCGGTAAAGGATGTGGTTCCATCTGCTTTACCTGAAAAGGCTCCGGAAGAGGCGGAAACGAGCAGCTCGGAGGGCGAGCTGGGTGAGGCTGAGGAGATCGCTTTCCTCAGTGCAAACACTAGTTCCATCATACATGCTTGCATCGAAGGCAAACCGGCTTGCGGCTGCCGGGGCACCTTCCATTTGGTTTCGCACCCACCTGCGGGCTCGCGATTTTGCAAGTCAAAGCCTTGCATTTCCATTCTCACGAACCTCTCGTGACTTTGTCGGGCGCCTGACAAAACATTGCATTTCTTTGCAATCGCGACTGCGAGTGTTCTCATCACTGGCTAATACTCCTTCTTTGGTGCAAGTGCGGGCATTTGCATTGCATACCTCTGCAGTGGAGTGCTCAGACGATCAGATTTGCATGGCAGGCATCATGTGACTGACAGTGCACTTTCATGATTACTTTCAGCTTGTACAGTCACTCAATTGCATTATCATGGCTTGATGTCACACTTTCAAGTTTCCATTGACTTTAGTTGCCCTCTGAGCAGTGCATTTTTGTTGAATTCTGTACATAGGAACGCCCCACACCTTTGGTGAGCCCAGGCTACGGTATAGTATTGTATAGCTGTATACTATGTGACCGATGCAGCGCCTTTGGTTCAAGAGCAAAAGCGTGACCGCTCAGGGTTTTACAGTTTAACTTGGTAGCGGAGCAAGGAAGCCTGAAGATCCAGGAAACCTGTGGGCCGAAGGAAACCGGATTGGAACCGGAAGAAGTACACGAGGATACCTGGAAACTGGGCAGTAAATCTTGGAATTCGCCATGAAGATGATCATGGAGAAGATGTACCAGGACCTCTTGCTATTTGTGGTTGGGTTCTGTATGAGTATCACGCTGAGCCAAGGAAGCATTCAGGAAACAAGTTGTTTGCGGATGAACATGTCTCACCTTGTTATTCGACCTCAGCCGTTTACCCTCGAAGAGGAAATTTCGGATTGTGTATGGGATCAATTGTATCCCCGAGTATGGGAGAACGATCGGAAGAAGGATCTCTTGTCCCAGCGGCAGGAACTATGGAACTCAAAGACAGTGAGATCTTCAAGGATGAACCTCACCAGAAAGTATCTCGGGTTACGGAACATGAACCGTTGCCGAGAGTGGCAAGGCCTGTGCATGAAGATGTCATGGTGGACCGGACTGCGGAGTTGGAAGAAATGCGGCAAAGTGCAGAAGAGAGGCGAGCTACCTTGGTGGAGCAAGCTAACCTCCTGCAGACGCCAGGAAGGAAAGCTGAAAGTACTCCAGCAAAGACTCCAGGTACAACTGGAGGAAAGTCGCGAGAAGAAAAGAAGAAGGAGAAGGAAGCTTCGTGCTTCACGACGTCACTTTCTCCATAAAAAGTTTTTCCCCTTCTCTTTCTGTTTTAGTGCCCTTTTTGGGGCGTTGCTAAAACACGAAGTTTGTCTTTGGAGAAGAATTATTTTTCATGTGACATGAACATGCAGTGCTGTCATCATGTTACATGAATCTTGTGAAATTTTGCTCCGTGCTGCCTTGACATCTCAAGTTCTGAAGGTGGGGCAAAATTCTTGCTTTTGGGCCCTGCTAGAGGCTTGTAACGGCGTCCTAGCAGGTCTTGGGCCCCCCTAAGTGCTGGCTTTAGGGCGTCACGACTCCCCGCTTTTCGTGCGGGGCGTCAGATGGACTTCGGTGAAGCGCTCGCTGACGGATCCTCTCATCGCTCCGAGGCCAGTTCCACTAGCACTCGCGAGCTTCACAGCCAGCACATTCACGATCTCCAATTGGAGGTCAACGCCCTGAGGCTTCAGGTTCAAGCCCTCAGGTCCGATTTGCAGACTCTGGAGGAGTCCCTTGCTCGCGTCTGGGTGAACCAGACGGGTCATCATCAACGCCTCTCGTGGCTTGAGGGGTTAATCCAGGGCTTGCGCCGTGCCTGCAGAGTTTTTCTTGAACCGCCCGAGCAGTCTGCTTGAAACGGCTGAAGCTTCGTATGGTGCCTCGGCTGTCCACAGGTGCGACTCCCAAAGCCTCGCCTGCTGCAGCGGGCCCTGCGGCCGCCAACCTGACTGAGGCTGATCCTGATCACTCGGTTTCTGGTCAGGGGGAGGAGCCTAGTGATGATGCAGCCAGTGTCAATGCATGGGGCCTGTTGGCTCCCCTGAGCCCAACCACCCATGCTGCCGTGCCTGAGGAAAGCCAGGATCCCGCCTTGTGGCTGTCGGAGCCTTTTAGTCCCTTTGCTTACGACCCTGTGCACGACCCCAACCTTGGTGACCCTGCCTCGGACTTGGGTTCTTATGATATGGTTCATAGTGGGGAACGGGAAAGGTCTCTTGACCCCGAAGACATTTGGTATGATTCAGTGCGAGATCTTTCTTTAGACGCGGTCCTAGTCGAAGGTGACAGAGAGGAGGTCGCAACCAGTGTTGCGGAAGAGCCTCTTCTGCCTGCTGAGTCGCTATCCAGCAAGCGTGTCTTCGAGGATGCCAGGTGGGCCGAGGTTGCTCAGGAGGCAAAGTTCAGGCGTGTGTGTCAGGACTTGCCAAAGTTGCCTTGGGAGCAAGGTGCATGGTCCAGTATTTTTGGACCTGAGAGAAACATGATCGACGATGCCCTTAGGAGCAGTGTGCAAGCCTCTTATGGCTCCGAGGAAGCTGGTCAATTGCCACCTGAGAACCTGCCGTCAGCTTCGGCCTTTCTTGAGAAAACTTCGAGTGTAGTTAGGACTAGGCTAAGGCGGTTTCATCTTGAGCGACCGGCAGATGATCGACGGGAGCACGCCATAAAGCGACTGAGGGCCCTCATCATGTACGATCCCGACACTACCTTCTTGGGGATGGTAGTGGCAAAGGAGGCAGCGAACCTAGCTGACGATGAGGCTCTGTCATACTCCTTCACTTGTGCTTTTGCGAAGAGTGCTTCCGGCTCTCTCATAAAGCGAGCTGGGTCCCTTGACCGTTTTGGTAAGTGGATCCTTAGCTGCCGAGGGACCTCGCCCCTTAGAAGCTCCGAGGTTGACTTGTTTGCCTACTTCTCGCACCTGCAGGGCGAGGGGGCGGGAGCCACGTCATGCCAGCATTGTGTGGAGGCACTGCGATTCCTCCACGGTGTTGCGGTGTTTCAAGTGCTTGACCTTGAAGAAGTCTTTAGCGCCAGGGTGCTAGGGATTGTGAGGATTATGCACGTAACAAAGGCCCCGCTAGCTCAGCGTCCCCCTCTGACTGTAGAACACCTGTCCCTCTTGGAGCAGTTTGTGACCATGAACAAGGATCACCGCGCATGTGTGGTAGGCCAACTGGTCTTCTGCGCACATGCTTGTGCCCGGTGGGCAGACAGTCAGCGCGTACAGAGCCTAACCATGGAGTGCGATGCTGAGAGCGGTGTGGTACTGATAGTAGCCGGGGCACTCGGCTCCAAAACAGCGATCTCCGCTGAAGCACGCACGCGGCTTCTGCCGTACGTCGCCCTGGGCAAAGGCGTAAGCAACGTGCCATGGGCAGAGGCGTGGATGGAGGCCAGAAAAGAAATGGGTCTGCAAGCTGGAGGGTCTTTTCTCCTTCCAACCTGGAGTGAGCGAAAATATGACTGGGGTGATTTTGAAATGGGGGCCGCGGAGGCCACGAACTACCTCAGGGAGGCGCTCATTTCCATGGGATGCGATCTTGATGAGGTTCAGGACTATGGCAGCCACAGCATGAAAACTACTGTCTTGACTTGGTGCGGCCGTAGCACGATCATTCCTTTCACGGAGCCTGAGCAGCGTGCGCTTGGCCATCATCTGGATCCGACAAGCAAATCTCCTTTGACTTACAGCAGAGAGTACTATTTGAAGCTCTATGCAAAGGTGCTGGCCGTCTTTTCGACCATCCAGCAAAACCGTTTCAAGCCGGATTTGCCTGGTGCTGCAAGTGTTGCTGCTATGGCGCAGTCCTTTGAAGAGGGCAACGAAAGGGGCTTGAGCCGACTTGAAATTCCGACGTCAAAGCTGAACAGCGAAAAGATGGCTGAGGATGGGGAGTCGGACGACTCCGATCACGCCTCGATAGATTTGGACAGAGAGCTCGAAAGGGATGATGGCCCGACCGAACGTGAAGTTTTTCGAGGGGTCCCCTGGACCACATGCACTGTCCATTCTGTCTCCGGCATCACACATGTGAAGAGGGATCAGACCTCTCTCTTGTGCGGCAGAGTTATCAGCAGGAACTATAAACCTTTTCGGCAAGGTAGTCTGCTTGGGGAAAACCCCTCATGCTGCATACAATGCTTTAGGGTCCTTGAGGCCCAAGGGGGATCCGACGCCGAGGCGAACCGTGGCGGTTAAAAGAAAGTGCTGTTCTGATCTGAGACTGGTGTGTGCTGGCATGGCCTGTAGCTGAGTGCTGCGTAGGGTCGTTGTGCCAGCTGCCGTGAGTCCGATCGTCTGAGCAGTCATTGATGAAGTTTGCCGCCGTTCCAGTTTTTAAAACATTGATCATGAGAAACATGAACATGTGGCGAAATACAAGTAGCGAGGAGTTTGGACATGTCATGTGGTAGCGTCAGCTCATGAACATTCTTGAAGAACCCTAGGTTGTGCAACATGACTTCCTCCGCCCTGGAAAGTACTGCCGAGTTTGCTGAGAGGTGCAAGCGGCTAGGACTGTCGGCAGCCAACTTGGAGGTGCTCCAGCATGCAGGCGTTGCAAGCTTTGGCCAGTTGTGCTTTAGCGTGAGTGCCTCCCCTCACACCATCACTGACCAGACATTCGAAGCATGGGTTCAGCGGCTTTGGGTGCCCTCGGTTCCTTCTGAGCAGCAGCAAACATGTCTGAAGAAGCTCCTTTTCGAAAGCCAAACCATGTCAATGGGCGAGATTCGTCAGAAGATGCAACCGGCCTCGGAGCAAGTTGCAAAGCCTCTGCCCCCGTCGGAGCGGTTAGCCAGGTCGCAACGGCAGCAGGCTCGGATCACTGGTTTGGTGTACACTCCAGAGACTACTCCCTCGCACTACCTAGTTGACTTGTTTAACGATCAACTTGAGACGGGAGTCATTGCATGGGTCGCGCCTGAAAAGTGCGCTTCCAGGGCAGATGAAATGCAAAGCAATAAGAAGGACAAAGCCTTGCAGCTCATGCCGGATGGACAGATCAAGGTTAACTCCAAGGCTGCAGAGGTCAGGTGTGAAGCCAGCACTGACTCCAAGCTTCGTGCAGCTTGGCAGAGACGGTCCCTTGCAATGGACATGGCTGGGATTGCAACTTTCATCGTGGTTGAAAAGTGGGTACATCATCTCTTTTCAGTGTTTGCCCGCGACGTGCCGGAAGGTTATGCACCCATCCAGTTGAGGCAGATGGTAAATGCCGACAAGCGCTTGTTCATGTTGGCCGCCGAGGGCCTGCCTGCTGATCTCAGGGCCAGCCGGCCCGGAGACAGGACACCTCTGGATGATCAAATTATCATGCTGATGTTCTCTCCCGAGATCTCTCAGTACCTTGTGCCGATGCCCAAGCCTCATGTTCCGCCCCCACCTCCGGGGGGTAAGGCCTTAGCTGAATCGCTGAAGCGGGCCCTCAGTGAGGACTTGCCCTTTGATAAAAACTTCTTGAGTCGGGCTTGGAAGAAGGGCAAAGGCGGCAAGGGCGGAAAGGGTGGAGACAAGCAGGAGGATCCGGCAAAGCGATTCAACCTTCCCGAAGGTTGCTGTGATCGCAATGACAAGAACCAGCCTCTGTGTTTCTTGTGGAATCAGGGGAAGTGCAAATGGAAGGGCAAAGGAAAGCGCTGCAACAGGGGCTTCCACCAGTGCTATTTCAAAGGCTGTTATCGCGACAAACCTTTCATTGAATGCGACCATAAGGATTGACAGTCGGTGGCGCTGCAGGCCAACGAGTGGGCCCCTGAGACCAATTCTGGTCTTCACCCGGCTGAGTCCTTGGCTCGCAGCGCAGTGCAACAGGGTAATTTTCAGAAATCAGTCATTTTGTCAGTTTTCGAGCTTTTGCCTGAAGGGAATAATCCTAGAGGGTCCGATCAAGCTTCCAAAGCCTTCGTGACTGGTGCTTTCATTCATGGAACCATGTGTTCAGTGGTCAACAATCTCACACGTTTTCCATGGACTTCTGAGCTCTTGGCATCGTATGCAAGGCAACAGGCGCCGACGGCAAAATTTTCTTCATTGGTCATTTTTCGCAACAATCAGGCGGCTCCGCATCGCGACTCGCATAATTGCCCACATAGTACCAATCAGGTTTTTGCAATTACGAATTTTTCAGGCGGAAGGGTCATCGTGGAAGACCCTGAGGGGGAGCATAGAATCACTCATGAGGGCCGCGATTTTCGTGGCCGTGCCATAGACTTTCGAAATGGAATGCTGAGATTCGCTGCGCGGGAGGTCGTGCATTGGACCGAGCCCTGGCTCGGCACCAGGGTGGTCCTTGTGTCATACACGGTGAGGGGCCTCAAGGGCATGCCTGACACTTGCCGTGATTCGCTTTTGCAGGCCAGATTTGCCTTGCCAGGCTATAAAGCCGAGCCCCTTAGGTGCCCGCCTGTGGAGGTTCCCACTCCCCTAGATCCTAAGCCTGATGCCGAGACCAACCCGGTTCCTTTGGGGTCTAGTCCTGATCCTGCATCGCTTGAGGGTCCTTTGCCTGTAGGGTTTAGTCCTGCCCCTGTCCCGCAAGTGCCCAAGGAGAGTCCGTCTTCAGCTTCGGTCGGCGAAACCCCGTTCGCCCTCGAACTCTTTTCGGGGCGGGGACGGCTGTCGCAATGCTTGCGCCGGGCCGGATTTACCGTCTTGTCCATGGACCACAGGCTAGCTCACAGCCTCGTGCCAGTTTGCAAAACTGATCTTGCCACCGAGGCAGGTCAAGCTTTCGTGTGGTCGCTCCTCGAATCCTGCTGCCCTGCCTTTGTCCATATGGGCTTGCCTTCTGACACAGCCTCTTCTCGCTCCTCCTCAGGAGCCTTGCGTACCTCGCAATATCCTTTGGGATGCCCGGATTTAACCTCAGGCAGTCTTGAGGCCACACGCGTGGATGAGGCCAACCGAATGTACCGCTTCTCTTTTGAGGTTGCTTGCTTTTGCCTGGCCAGGGGTATTCCCCTTTGCATAGAGAACCCGCCGAGTTCCAGACTGTGGCAAATCTTTTCTTGTTTCGCGCAGGGCTTGAAAGACACAGAGGTGTTAGCCAAGTGGCAGGCATTGCCGTCAATCGACCTGCATTGTTGCATGTTTGGCGGCTCCCGTGCTAAGCCATTGCGGCTTAAATGTACACCTGGCCTGTTCGACTCCCTTGCGGTGTCATGCGACAAGCAACATGAGCACAAGCCCTGGTCCCTCAGCCGCACTCGTGTGGAGATTGCCGAGGATGCATCTTACCCTCTGGATTTGTGTCGTCGTATGGTTTCATGCTTGCTGTCTTTCATGGGCCAAGCTGGACAGGCCTTGCCGTCTGCCATCCGTTTGCATGACCAATCCTTGGCTGCAGCTGGGGTCCAACCGCGCCGGCATAAACCTCTAATCCCCGAGTACAAGACAGTCGTGCAGGTCCCAGCGGACTCTCCAATCCCGCCTGGTGCCAAGGTGCTTTCTCCCAGCCAACTTCAGGGGGTGGATGTGGCTGCTCATGTGGCTACTCCGATGTCTACACCCTCCTCTGGTTCGACCACTCCGACTGTTGGTGCCGTGACCTTGGGCCTTTGGCACTCTCCGAGCGAATTCTTTCACAAGGCTGCATCTCTAGCTCACCCCATGGATACCACCAAGCCGGTGGCCATGGTGACGAAGGCAGCAATCGATTCCTCCTTACATGGGGACCCGGATGCACTATCCGAGCAAAGGAGATCCTTCCTTTGCTACTTGGAGGAGAAGATTCGCCGCCTTCAGCCCCGCGAGGACGCCTTACACAAAGGCATGCCAAAATATATGCAGGAAGTTCTTGAGGGCAAAAACTTGCTAGCCTGGGAGGAGCTCTTGAAAGAGACGGGCTATACTGACCTTGATTGCGTGCGCTTCATGAAGGAGGGTGTGAGGCTTGTAGGGTGTGAGGAACATCCAAAGGACTTTGCAAAGAAGGTATCCCCCGCCTCCTTATCGGAAGAAGAGCTTAGAGCTACGGCTCGGCATCGAAGGTCTAGCTTGTTGGGTTTAGGGCGAAGTTTCCCCTCTGAGGAGGATGCTTCCCTGCTGTCCCAAGCCACTGCCGAGGAGGTCGATGCTGGCTTCCTTGAGCGAGGTATGACTGCCGATGAGGTTAGTGCCTTCTTCGGTCACGAAGATTGGGGTGTGGTACGAAGGTTTGTGCTGGTCCAGGATGGAGGTCGCAAGGTCCGTCCCATAGACGACTGCTTGGAGGCGCAAATCAATGCTGCTTATACCTCCACAATTGCCTTGCAACTTCACGATTCAGATTATGTAGCTTCACTGGCCCTCTTCATCGCTGAACGAATGCAAGGCCTTCCAGCCAGCAAGCGCATGCCGTGGCATGGGAAGTGCCTAGACCTTTCGAAAGCCTACAAACAAATGGCAGTCCATCCACGAGACCGCGACTTGTGTGTCATCATGATCCAGGATCATGATGGAGTTGCAACTTACCACATTTGCAATGCGTTGATGTTCGGGGCTTCAGCATCAGTGTTTGCATTTGTGCGGGTGAGTCGCTCGTTGTGGTGGATAATAAATAAGTGCTTGAAAGTACCCTGTGCCTGCTACTTCGATGACTATCCATTATTTAGCCCAGAGTCATCAGCTGCCCCCGTGGACCAAGATGTATCCCGGCTATTGGACCTGCTGGGGTGGAGGCATGCAAAGTCCGGGTCAAAAGGCAAGCCCTTTGATAGTTCCTTCGACGTCCTTGGGACTAGGCTAGACTTGGGTGAGATCTTGTCAGGGAAGATAGTTCTTGCAAATAAGGTTGGCAGGGCGGAGAAAATTCTTGAAAAGGTTTCGACTGCATCCCTAGGGAATGGGAGCTTCAGGCAATCTTTGCAGGTCCTTATTGGACACCTGAACTTCGCCTCCGGCTTCTTTGCCGGAAGGGCCCTGCGACATGTGGCCTACGACTTGAATCATCTGATGGGCAAGGATTGGCTTTCAGCTAAGGACTCCTTGGATGAGTTGGGCAGCCGCATCTCCGTCATCCTTCAGGGCACCCCTCCCCGGTCCTTAGTGTGCAACCGAGTGCGCCAACCGATCCTGGTGTGGACCGATGGCTCTTGGGAAAAGGGACATGCGGGTATAGGTGCCGTTGAATGGGATCCCATTACCTCGAAGGGTGCGGTTTGGGCTGGCCACGTCCCAACTAGCATCACTGCTTTGTGGTTGAGAACTGAAGATCACACTCAGGAGCAGATAATATCGCAGGTCGAGTTGTATGCAATGGCACTCATCAGACATCTACGGAAAGAAGCATGGATGCACCGAAGGGTCATCGTCTTCTGTGATAACGAGGCGGCACGCTTCGCAGCCATAAAGGGTGGCAGCAGCAGCCACAGCATGAATCGGCTGGTGCAGGCATGGGATCACCCAAATTTTGATCACCCAGCTTACTTGTGGATCGAGCGTGTGCCCTCTTTCTCGAATATTGCTGATGGTCCCTCAAGGGGCGTGCCCGAAGAGGCCTTACGCCTTACACGTACCAGCTCTTGCAGAACTTTTGAGACAGAGGCCGAGCTCGAAACTCTTTTGTTCAGCAGGCGCAGAAAGGAGATGGGGTGAGGGTGCGCCCAAGACTGTTGATGCTGGGAAATACCCGTTTGGGCATCGGTCTGTTGTGGGCTTCGACTTTCACCGCGATTCTCCCCCGCCTTTCAGTAAAAAGATGAGGAACGTGCGAGTGCTGTGAGCTGCTGTGCGTGATAACATTCTGAAGGCTATATGCCGGAATATATTGAGATTGGCTTTTTATATATATTGGATTTGGCAAATTTTTGCCTTACGGTCGTTTAGCATATGACCATTGCTTGATATGCTTTGATCCGAGGGAAACAATCTTTTTAGGAGAAGGAAGCTTCGTGCTTCACGACGTCACTTTCTCCATAAAAAGTTTTTCCCCTTCTCTTTCTGTTTTAGTGCCCGTTTTGGGCGTTGCTAAAACACGAAGTTTGTCTTTGGAGAAGAATGATTTTTCATGTGACATGAACATGCAGTGCTGTCATCATGTCACATGAATCTTGTGAAATTTTGCCCCGTGCTGCCTTGACATCTCAAGTTCTGAAGGTGGGGCAAAATTCTTGCTTTTCCCGCCCGCCCGACCCAAAGTGGGGGTGAGGGTGCGCCCAAGACTGTTGATGCTGGGAAATACCCGTTTGGGCATCGGTCTGTTGTGGGCTTCGACTTTCACCGCGATTCTCCCCCGCCTTTCAGTAAAAAGATGAGGAACGTGCGAGTGCTGTGAGCTGCTGTGCGTGATAACATTCTGAAGGCTATATGCCGGAATATATTGAGATTGGCTTTTTATATATATTGGATTTGGCAAATTTTTGCCTTACGGTCGTTTAGCATATGACCATTGCTTGATATGCTTTGATCCGAGGGAAACAATCTTTTTAGGAGAAGAAGACTGCCAAGAAAGAAGCCAAGCAAAGCCGTAAGGCCGAGAAGGCTAGGAAGAAACAGGAAGAAGAAGCCACCAGTCCTCAAGGTGTTCGACGTAAGTTGGATGAAGCTATGGAAGTGGCAGGATCGATTGAGAACGTCATGTTGCTTGAGAAAGAGTATAAGAGATTCAGACTTGACGGAAAGTATCAACCCCCCTTCCTCAGTATCTACAGCCGGATGTTGCAGAACAATCAGAAATTCAAGCCCAGATCTTTCTATGATCCCCCAGGAAAGGATCAAGAGACAGAACAACTTGAAGCTCTTAAGGAGGAAGAAGAGAAGAAGTCCGAGGCAGAGTCTCGGAAGAGAAAATTGGCCGAGCTGGAGGAGCAAAAGCGGATCTTGGAAGCTGAGACAAAGGAGAAGCAGCAAGCACTGGAGGAAGAAACCAAACGTCTTCGCGCAGTGGAAGAATCGGAGCGTATGGCTAAAGCACTCCAGGAAGCTAACAAGCCGCCAGCCAAGATCACGGTACCTGAAGCAGCACTGGATTCGGCGGAAGAATGGTACCGCAACAAAGCCCTTGAAGTCATGGGCAAGCTACGAGCTCGTAAAGGCGAACAAACGGAGAACGCTCGTAAGGCCGAGGAAAGTTGGCTTCAAGCTTGCAGGAATGTGGAGAAGGCTCAAAGTGGATTTATTGTGGCATCGGAAAGGCTGCAAAGTGCTATGGGACAAGCCCTCAACATTGCAGTACGCCACGGAGAAGAAAAGGGTCTACTTCAGATCTTGCAATCCATCCACGATGGAACCACGCAAGCACCAGAGCCAGCTGAACCCGCTGTTCAAGCGATGCCAAAGAAAATGCCCAAGTTGGGAACGGACGCTCAGGCTGGACAGGAAAAAGAGAAGAAGCTTCCAGAGCAGAGAAGGTCTGGAAAAGGGAAGAAGCAACCGCCTGAGGAAACCCCAGGATGGGAGTGGACAGAAAGAATTTATGAAGAAGACATCGACGAGAATCGCCCTCTACGAAGCGGAGAAGAGTATTTACCTGGGTCCGAACCTTTCAGTCCCACTTGGACAAAGGAGTTGGTACAAATCCTTTCTGGATTGGCTATGCGCGGGATTGGAGAGAAAGACGGAGAGTATCAGCCCCTATGGGAGTTCCCTTGGCAGATCAAATCGTACGAAGACTATGATGCAATCCAAGCCCAGCTGGAACCGTACAGCGTACGCCTCATTCCGTCTCGCCGCGAGTGTAAAGGTGCTGGACGCTTCGCGGAGGTATGGAGTATGCACCCAGCCGGAAAGGGTCGTTTGGACATCGAGCCAACGGAGACTACCCGGCACCGTACTGTGTACGGGAGCTTACCTCCAGGAAAAAGCTTGTGCTCGCTATGCTGGCATGGAGGACATTGGAAGAAGGAGTGCAAGTACCGCCAGCTATGCTTTTGCCTGTACGAGCCGAAGCTCACGATACTGGATCGCGGAAACAAGACGAGGCGACTGTATCCGATTCGAGGAATCACTCGTCCCGGATACCAAGGAGATACTACGAATCCGTACAAAAGGTTTCTCCCGATGCTCGCTCTTTGCGACTTTGGGAGTATGTCCAGGGAAGTCTCGGAGAGTAACAAGCGATACTGGAAGCAGGCAAAGGATGAAGGAGATTTTCCAGTTCTGTATCGAGAAGAGCAGGCCAGCCGGAAAAAGGAAGCAAGCCAGTCAGCTACAGCAAAGAAGAAGACCAAGCCAGAGAAGCCCAGCATCTGGACAACCAAGGAGGATGAAAAGAAGGTTGTGGTTTTGGACGAGCCTAGCCCGGAAGCACCAAGCCGAGAGGAGCTTCGGCAGAAGTACGAAGAGCACCACAAGGCCAAGCTACGCAAAACGTTGGAGTCGCGTGAAGCAAAGAAAATCTTGGATGCCCCGGAAGCGGATGCAGGAAAAGATCAAGAAGTTCCAAAGGAAGCCGTTCCGGAAGAACCTGAAGTACCAGAAGCACCCGCAGTGCCAGAAAAGACGCCTGTCAGGGACACCATGGACGAAGCAGGCAGTGACAGTAAGATGTCGGATGAGGCCAGCGAAAGTGAATCCCCTGTGGAGAATTCGGAGTCGTCGGAAATCGACGAACCAAAACGCCGTAAGACCGCTAAGGAAAGGCAGCAGGAAGAAGCTGGAAGAAGTGAGCCAGCAGAGCAGATCGATAAGAATGATCTGTGAGGCGCTTGAGCAACTCGCTGCCCAGTGTACGAAGTTGCGCGCAGCAAACGCTGTGCCTGTACTGATAGCACTTCTGCTCATCTGGAGTTGCGGAAGAATGCAAAAAGGAGTGACACGCAGCAGGGATGCCGTCACCCATCTACCTTGTATGCGAAGGAAAGTTAACCGGATGCATAGTATTCGTTGGAGACGTAAAGTGAGTGGATGCAAGCGGAAATTCAGAGCAATGGTACTTGTTTGTTTGCTTGTCAGGACGGAAGCTATGCAAGGACCTCAAGCCGCACAACCATCATCAGCCGCCGGAGTACCAGTACAAGATGGAGCAGATGGAGATGGATTAGGCATGGTACCTACTCAAGAGATACTTGGACAATTGGTCCAGAATTCCAGAGTCACTACAGAAGCTATTCACCAGCTAGTTACCTATTCTGGAAACCAAGGAAATACAGGAAGTTCGTATGAAGGAATACTTTCTAAGGCATTGGAAGGTGCAGTGAAGATGTTGGGAAGACCACCATCATTTGGTGGAGGTAAAACCGATGCACAAGATTTCATGGACTTCAAAGAACAACTTTATAACATTCTTGCGTATGCGGAACCCAAGTATTCGGATGCCTTTAAGAATTTGGAGAAGTTGGGAGACCATGAAGTACTACCAGCTACTTTGTCGGATGAAACGTATCAGAATATGTCAACGAAGCTGTACTCGCTATTGAATTCTTGGTTGTCAGGAACCACGAAGCAGCATGCACGAGATCCCAGTATTGCTGGATCCCGGAATGGATTTGCTTTGTGGAAGTCATTGCTGAGGATGTATCAGCCGAGTACGAGAAGTCGGAGTCTAGCTTTGATGCAAGCGATTCATGGATACCCAAACTTTTCACCCGGACTAAGTGCTGTGGCACAGATTTCGAAGCTAGAAGAACTAGTCAAAGACTATGAGAGATGTAGTGGAGTGAGCTACCCTCGAGAGATTCTCCTGTCGACTCTCTTGAGATGTATCCCTAGTCCTCTGAAAGAACACATCCATCTTCAGCTTACGGATAAGACAACATACAGCCAGGTCAAAGAAAGCGTACTAGTCTACGAGCGGACTACGAGAAGTTGGATGCCGAACCAAGTATATCAACCCCTTGAATCAGGACATGGCCAACAGTACCTAGGAGCAGTAGAGAATGCCCCTACTGGTGGAGGACATCAAGCAATGGAAGTGAACAGAGTAGAGTACAAAGGAAAAGGATGGAAAGGAAAAGGCGGAAAAGGAAAAGGCAAGAAAGGCTATGGCAAGATGTTTGGAGGATTCGGAGCCATGCAGGCAGGTAGAGGATTCAGCAGGTTTGGTCGAGGTAGAGGAAAAGGCAAAGGTAGAGGTAAAGGTAGAGGAAAAGGTAAAGGTAAGAAAGGTGGAAAAGGCCGGAAAGGCAAAGGAAAGAGTAAAGGAAAAGGAAAGAAAGGAAAAGGAAAACGACTTGGAAGGACAGTTTGTAGACTTTGTCATCAGGAAGGACACGGGGGAAATGAATGCCCCAACAGACATTCTGTTCGTAACGTGGAAGCCGAAGAACAGTCCCAAGCGGAAGCGTATCCCAACAATCCACCGAACCAAGAACCTTACCCAAAGCCTAATGTAGTCGAAACTGGTAGTATTCGCCAGACGACGAGCCGACCGGATCCAAGGATCGTCACCCGGAGAGTAGGAGCGTCAAGTGGATCAAGTGGATTCAACCCAAAACCATTTTACCACATAGCCACGCCGCCGGAAGAATATCCGGAGACCTTCCCAATCAACTCAGAAGATGAGTCGGACATTGACATCACGTATGTCAACACCATCCGTATGGTTCGAGATGTTGCAGATGAAACTGCAGAAGGTGAGGAAGTCACCAACCCATTTTTCGGTGAACTACCCAGTCCAGGTTTTACAGACTCAGATGAGGAACTTGGATCAGGA